TTACTGCTCACCTCTAACCAAGGATGATCAGCCTCCTGTATCTCACTAATGTGAGTACTAGAAGAAGGGAAATCAAAATTTAAATCAGGTTTCTCACCATGAACAAATTCCTCACCACTAACATCAATGTTAGGTGGTAGAAACATGTCAGGGTTGTCCTGATGGAACTTATCTAATCTAGCATCTTCCAGCTACTTAATGATCTTAATGTTACAAGTGATTTGAGTTGGATCCCCACCAAGGATCACCCCAGCTTTATCAGCTATATCAACAAGTACATTATCATCTAAGCAACTAAAAGAATTCTTAAAACCAGGATTTTTCTTACCTTTGGGTACTTCCAGATTTTGGATTTGTTTCAGCTCCTGAGCTTTCTTTAGGCTGGGTACCCCACTTCCCTGTATCCTGGCACTGACTCTTGTAGCAATGACAGGTCCCCACTTACCCTTGCCATTTGGAGGGGGTTCCAAGATCTTGTCCCCTTTTTCGTTACAGCCCACTGCCTCTTCAAATTGAGCTAGCAAAGCTCCAGAGATGTTCAAAGCAGGTCTTTTCTTAGCTACATCTAGATAGCTTTTGGCAAGTGGAGCACCTTGCCCTTTTTTAACAGAGATTTTCTCCATGTCAGCTGTAGGAGCAGGAGTAACAAGGGCCAGAGTATTCCTTGTCCCTCTAGATGTAGGGGTGGGTCTACCATCAGGTGCATGTGTCTTTCCACTTTCATGTCCTCTCCTCATTTCTTCACCCAGAAGGTCATCATCATCAATTTCCTCATCCTCTTCTTTATCATGTTCAGCTTGATCATCTTCACCAGGATCACTGGGGTCATGTGGTGAGGCCATAAGAGTATCATCCTCCACTCTGAAGGTCACCAGAAATAATTCTTGACAAAATTCAAACATTCTATCCTCAGGAATTTTTGTGGGATCTCTGACAGCTACTTGGACCCTCACCTTCTCATAAAAACTCCTGAAAATGCCATGCCAGTCAACATTCAATAAGAAACCCAGAGAGGATGTAATCTGAGCAATTACATTCCAAGAGCACCACTTAGGTGGCAGTCCTCCAATTTCAATCCATATTTCCTGTAGACTGTCATAGGCTGGGAGCTCTCCATTCCAATCTTTAAATAGGATGGTCATCCCTTTCTTCTTGAGATTGACGGATGGATATTCAACCAAGTCCTGGATCTTTTTGTTGGGTGGAAATCTGACCAAATATTGCTTCTCATCATAAGCTCTGATTTGCCATGGCCAATTAGTCTTCCACATATCAGTAAAGCATTTCTCCAGCTCCTTGGCACTAATCTCACCCTCCTGAACAGACACCAGCCCAACATTACCAAAGTTGAGCCAATTAGCATCACTCTTTTCCCCAGTCTCAATGTGGTAGAATCCCAGACCACTGTTTGCACTGCCCAGGTACTGGCTGAAAGGATAGGTTTTATACCAAGTTGGACAGACATCCATATGATGACTAGGGTTTCTGTAGATGAAACAGATTTTTGGGACAGAGCACATCCCCACGAAGTGACCAGGCAAACCGCAGTTGTAGCATATGGCACCTGCATACTTCGGATCTATGCGAAAAGGTTCACCAGAATCTGAACTTTGATCCGTCTCATCAGTTTTCCTCTGTTCAGCCTTTCCAGCAGGTTTCTTCTACTTCTTCTTGCTCTTGCCTGCGCCAGCCTGCCCAACGCTACCTGCTTGGCTCCCACTGCTTTGCATTGGCGCATGAAAACTTGCCGGGTGCCCTGCAGGCGGGGGAATGAACTGATATGGATACTGCGGCTGTGGCACCCAGGGACCAACCAGAGCAAATTGCGGGTTCCACCCCCCATACTGAGGATACATCTGTGCCCCGTGATTCATCATCGGTGGTGCCGCAGCCAAGGGGACAATTGGAGGTTTGGCATAAATGGAGACAGGAGGATTAGATCTGGCGGGGGTCACCTGACGGACTGGAGGAGGCGGATGAGCAACTGATTCAGCCTCCTGCGCCGTAGGGGGAATTATACGCCCTCCTTCATTCCTCCCCCTCCCCGCATCGTATCTCCCTCTTCTGGATCCTTGCCCTCCTGCGCCTGCCATCTTCTTCACGATCGCCGCGTAAGGAACTCTTCCTTCACGTCTCCCCCAGAAATCCCTCGAGAAGTTGAAAAACTTAGGAGTTGGAAGCCAATCAGCCTGCCCTGCAGGATGACAATCATCCACCGAGAACACGCCTGACTGGAACAGACCCTTCTGCACCCATACCAGATCAGAGAGATCCCCCCGGCGGCGAGGAGCCCTAGCTGAGATTTTATCCTTTCTCGCAGCCCACCTCGGAGGCAGATTTTGGGAATGCGCCTTCACCTGTTGACTCGCTTTATAAAATCTATTAGTGCAGTTACAAGCAACGTGACTGCATTGACCCCTGTATAACTCGACGGTACAAATATTCTGGAGCGGAACTCTTCTTTTCCCGCCCACCACGATCTGAATTCTGAAGTCCACTACTCTATATTGGGGTTCAACTCCTCACTCACAGCCGCTGGCATGCTAGTATTTGAAATTCAAGCACTCCGACTAAGTTCTGAATGCCGCTAGAATGTCCAATCCAAGAATTAACTTTTATCATCATCTGGCACTGCTTGACTTGCTTTCATAGCTTTTAGTCGTGTACGTACGAGTGTGGACCGTCTATGAAAATTCCTATTTGTATTCTTGAGTCTATGTTTAGGCTATACTCAAAATAATAAAAGGAATTCCAAACATGAAGGTGTCAAGAGACTTGACCCCAAACATCATGTAGGTTATTGGTTTTTTTTATTTTTTATTAAAAGTGCAAACAAAGTCTAAAAAACATCAAACTTGACATTATGTCATTATATGATCCCTAAAGGCGGTGATAAAAATTGAGAAGTTATCATAAAAGTTGTGATCTGAACTGCTTAGAAATCGAACCATCTCCAAGGAATAATCATAGTTTCAAGAGGGAATGGGTCAAGTTTGAAGGCTAGGTGATTGCTGCTTCATCTGTTGGCCTTGAAAATAAAATCTACACAATATACACCATGACATGTTCCATGTCAAAATTAGAAATTTTTCGGGTCCGTTTTCTATATTTAAGTCATCAAGTGCATTTTCTAAGTATTAGTGAATATAATTAAAATTTGAACTACAAGTGCATGCAAATTTGGTAAAATAGGGTTAAAGATCCTATTTGTGTTCTTGAGTATGTTTAAGCCAATCCCAAAAAAGGAAAGAAATTTCAAACATTAGGGTGCGAAGACTTGACCGCAAAGATGGAGGTTATTGGTTTTGAAATTCCGAACATATGAACAAATTCTAAAAAACATGAAATTTGGCATGGTGTCATTATATGACCGCTAGAAACTATGGTAAAAAATTGAGAAGGATTCATAAAAGTTGCACCTCCTAGAAAGAATTGTGGTTTCAAAAGGGAACGGATCAGGTTTAAAGGTGAAGCGATCCCTGCTTCATCCGTTGGCCATTAATTTTTTTTCTACATTCAAAATACACCATTACATGACACATGTGAAAATTTAGTATTTTTGGAATCCATTTAATATATTTAGGTCATTAAGTGCATTTTCTAGATATTTAGTTAATATAATTCAATTTTTAACTGCAAGTCCATGAAATAGTTCAAGAAAATATTTTAACAATTCATGTTTGTGTTTAATGAGTCTATGTTTAGGCCTTACACAAAAAATGAAAGAGAAGAAAAAAGAGGAAAGAAAGAAGACGAAAGAGGAAAAAGAAAAATAATTCCTCTTTGTGTTTAATGAGTCTATGTTTCCATGTGCATTTTCAGAGACACTCGGTAAAGACACCCTTCCATGGATCATACCTTCCCACCGTTTCATTCCCATAGATCCAATGGCTGCCTATTCCTTCCTCGCTTCTCGATCAATCCCTCTCTCTCTCTTCTAACTCTCTCTCCCTTCACCCAATCCCCACTCTATTCTTGAGGCGGCGTCGCCAAAGACCATGCGGGCATGTTGTCGCTACCACTACCAAACATCTAGGGTCGACTCCTAGAATTTCACCCACGGTCGTGGCACTTGCTTGACTTTCCGGTCACTCTCGTCTCAGAGCCAGCTGCTTCCTCCTCAGGAGCCAACAACACCCAGAGGCAGCGAATAGACGCGCACGCACGACCATCTCCTCCCTCCTCATGAGGCAGCTATACGCGGTGGCAACGGCCACCTCCGGCGCGTCCAGGGGCACTACAACGCGACGGCCTTGTCCTAATGGAGATGGAGCTTTGTGGAGCATGTGTCCCGAGCACTCGCTCGCCAATGCCGCTTCCACTGAGCTCAATGGCAACCCCGCGACCGTCGCCCTCTACCTGCGTCGCACAACCGAAGATGCACAAGGGGATCCTTGCTGTTATGGTCTTCCCAACCTGCCACCAGGCATCCCGGCGACCCCGTGTAGGATGGCCGGGCTAGGATCAGGTCGCCCATGTTTTCTTTAATTACGCTAAAATGATTTGCCAAGTGTAACACTCAGCAAACCCCTCAACTTTTGCCGAGTGCAACACTTGGCAAACTACCATTGCAGCACGTGACAATGGCACCATTCGACTCTGTTTCATCTAGACTATTTCATTGTCGAGTGCTTTTTTTTACACTCAGCAAAAGAGTTTGCGAGTGCCCGACAAATAAGACTCGGCAAACTTGTTTGCCAACACTCAGCAAACCTTTAGCCCAGTGCTTTTCTCCCATTGTCGGGCACTCGGTAAAGTGCCAAATTCTGGTAGTGAAAAAAGCAATACAGGCTATTATTGGAAAAGCCAAAGAAATATCAAAACCGCATAATAAAATAGAAGTAATACTCTGTTGCTAAAAAAAGCCTAAGAAATAGCATCGACCAAGAATTTAGATCTCAATGGACTCAATCAATTCAAAGCTAGAAAAAGACAGTTCAAATGATACGACGATTTTTCTAGCTAGTCCATAATAAGTGTTAGCCAAAAGTTAGGCTCGTTTAGTCGAGGTAGAAAAGTAAGTAAAGAATGCGACTGGAATGACATGGATGTGCACGTGGCTCGAAGCATGCGTACCTAACTTGCCAAGTCAGAACGTCGTTTTTGCTGTTGCTGTAGAGGTACCCATCGAGGCTGCCGTTGTGGACGAGCTCGTAGACCAGCAGCAGCCGCCTGCGGCCATGGCACCAGCCGATTAGCTGCACAAAATTCCGGTGGCGCAGTCTGCTGATGATGGTGACCTCCGACCTGTACTCCTTCCTCCCCTCCAAGGACGCCCCTCGCAGGAACACCTTGACGGCGACATCGCGGCCGCCGAGTTCTTTCATGTGGCCCCGGTACACCGACCCGGATCCGCCCTGCCCCAGCTTCCCTTCCTCCGCGAAGTTCCGCGTCGCCGCCGCTAGGCTGGCGTACGGGATCGGCCGGGGTCCCGTGCTGGAACCGAACTCATCGCCGTCTGCGTCGAGGGAGTCCGGAGTCATGTCGCCGGCGAGCATGTCTTTGTCGTCTGGTTGCCTGTTTCTCCTGCTCGCACGCCGGAGCAGCACCGCCACGGCGACCGCGAGCAGGAGCACCAGCACGGCCGCGGCGGCAACCCCGGCTCTGAGTTGTAGGGTGGCCTTCTTGGTTGACGACGGCGAGGTAGATGGGAGGGGAGTGCCGTTCCTTGTCGGGAGCGTGGAGTGGAAGGACCACGAGAGTAACGTGTGACTGCTGCCGAAGGCATCACCGGTGGCCGCCGAGAAGCCTAACGCGACCTGCTCCGGCAGCAAGCTTCGGAAGTCGACGGTAGCGCCGAGGGCATACTCGGCGCCACTGACGCGGAGGACGACGTTCAGCCTCGCCGTGGCGTTGTCGTAGTTCACCGTCGAAGAAATCACGCCGGCGTCCACGAGGCTGCCTTCCGGCAAGATCCTGAAGTTGCCGCGTGAGTCGACGTTGTTGACGTCTACGCCGATGTGCCGGCTGCTGGGGTCCCACGCGTCACGGTGGGTGTCGAACTCCACGGCGACGAAGCTGGCGCTGCCGGAGGCGTTGGCGGAGATCGCCGTCGTCCCGCTTTCCGGAACATGTTTCTCGTCGAAGAGCCCAAGGCAGCCGTCGTAGGACTCCTGCGGCATTTCGGGCATGTAGGGCGCGACGAAGAACGTCATGCCGTGCCCGGGGGTGCTGCTCCGGCCAGGCAGGGACTGGATGCTGAAGTTGAAGCTCGTGGTGAAGCTGGCCGTCTCGCCCTTGACGCCGTCCCAGAGCTGCGCCGCCTGCTTGTACAGGACGCGGCCCCTTGCTCGACCGCCGGCCTCGTCGCCGACGAGCTCAATCCTGCCGTCGGTGACCATCGCGTCATCCTCCTCTCGGAAATCACCGGAGCTGAAGGAGTTGTAGTTGAACGAGATGGCGGTCGCATGATGGACATGTACACCGAGGAGCAAGAAGCACAAGACGAGGAGATCGCTACTTGAGCACAAGCATAGCTTCAGCTCAGCCATTGCTGTTGCTCCGAGTTCTGATCGAGGACTCCACTGGCAATAGTGGCGCACGCACGTGCTAACATGCCCCCTTTCTAGTTGTAGATGTAGATAGACATAAAAGTCTGAACCACTGTAAGTGTCATCTTAGGCCCAGCCGCCCAGGACAACAATAGTAATGTGCGTACAGCACGAACGTTCAAGGAGAGTGACAAGTGGACTAGCATGCGCACCATATCCTTCGTTGCGTCCACTAGTCCGGCCGATCGGCATCATCTTATCAAGTTTCTCGGAAGAGAACGACGTCCAGGCCAGGCCGACAAATATTTTGGACTGTTACACCGTTATTAACATTTTTCTTGGGAACTGTGCCATTATGTTTACTGCCAAGAGTTCAGTCAGAACAAATACAGGTGGAACACATGCAAGAGACATGGACGGGGGCCCAACTACTTGAATTTCCGAGTTTCCCTTGTTCCGGGAAAACTCGGTGAAAGCGAATTCTCACTCGGCAACGTATTTGCCGAGGATTTATTTTTAAAACTATGATGATTTTTATAGCAAATTCGGAAACTATACACCTTAATGCAGAAAAATCAAAAGTATCATCCTATTGGCTTCATGTTGGCCGAAGAAAGACTTTTCGGCCAACCGTTGGCCAAAAAGGACTTTTCGGCCAACCGTTGCCCAAATAGGACTTTTCGGCCAACAGTTGACCAAAGAGTCCCTCTTCGGCCAACACCTGCTCTACTGTTTTAGAAAATCCATATCAATTAGGATTTTTAGTATTTTAATTTGATTCTTTTTGCATTAGATTAGAAATTTTATGAAGTTTCTGTAGATATCAAGTTTGACTAGATTTAAAAGTTTGAATTTGAATTTTTATGAATTTGCTCAAATCACTAGATTGCCTATAATTTGAGCTAGGAGTATTATTTTTAGATGGTTCTTTTTGCTACTGGTTCTTTGTGACTTTGTTTATGAGTAGTAATTAATTGGTGAATTTTAGGATTATTTAAAATTAGGTTTTCATGAAAACAGTTCTGTTTTAGTGTTTTATAGGTTTTGTGCTATTTCTTTTAATTTTAATTGCTTTAAATTGTTTTCTTTAGTTTTTTTGACATATTCTTTTTGACACGTGGAGATTAATTGACAAAGAAAACAATTTAAAGCAATTAAAATTAAAAGAAATAGCACAAAACCTATAAAACACTAAAACAGAACTGTTTTCATGAAACCTAATTTTAAATAATCCTAAAAATCACCAATTAATTACTACTCTTAAACAAAGTCACAAAGAATCAGTAGCAAAAAGAACCATCTAAAAAGAATACTCCTAGCTCAAATTATAGGCAATCTAGTGATTTGAGCAAATTCATAAAAATTCAAATTCAAACTTTCAAATCAAGTCAAACTTGATATCTACAGAAACTTCATAAAATTTCTAATCTAATGCAAAAAGAATCAAATTAAAATACTAGAAATCTCAATTGATATGAATTTTCTAAAACAGTAGAGCCGGTGTTGGCTGAAGAGGAACTTTTTGGCCAACTGTTGGCCGAAAAGTTCTTTTTGGCCAGCGGTTGGCCGAAAAGTCCCTCTTCGGTCAATGGTAGGCCGAAAAGTCCCTCTTCGGCCAACAGGGGGCCGACGGGGTGATATTTTTGACTTTTCTACATTAGGGTGTATAGTTTCCGAATTTGCTATAAAAATCATCATAGTTTAAAAAAAATCTTTGCCGAGTGTAGTTCTCGGCTCAAGCCTCAAGGTAATCGGCCCCTACCCTTCCGTAAATGTCACTTCGCCAAGAGCCGTCTAACGGGGACTCTGGCAAACCCTTTGCCAAGCCCTAGGTGGCGCACTTGACGGGCCATATAGAGACAGCGGCAGCCTGCACGTGGCAGGCCACTTTGCCGAGAGCCTCTTCCATAGATACTCAGTGAATTCGGAAGCCCCGGGGCACGACACATGGTGCCCAAAGTATGCCGAGATGTCATCTTCGCTGAGTATCTACGGCGGGCATACTCAGCAAAGATGGATGCAAGAGTAGATGACACGTGGAGATCGATGTTTGCCGAGATTGTCGGCATTGTACTCGGCAAAACGTGTGTCTTATGGGTGACTAACGTCTGGCACGACAAACATTCTTTCTGCAGCACACGGCAAAGGTCGGCACAGTCTGCGGAGTACACACTCTGTATCTAGGCAAAAATTTCAAGTTCTTGACATTTGCCGAGTTCCGCCCTCGGCAAAGATCTGTCCAGTAAAATCTCAGGTTGTGATGTTTGTCGAGATCCGCCCTATCCAACTCAGCAAAGAGTCCACAAAAATACCAGGTGGCGCCATGTGGCACCTTTGCCGAGTGCTACACTCGATAAAAATGTTTAGCCGAGTATTGCACTTTGCAAAGCCTCTGTTAGGGGCTTTTTTTTAATTAGCACTACAATAAATCACATATACAATATATATATATATATATATATATATATAGGCAAACATTGCCACATTATAGCCAATCACCATTGCACAACATACATAACAAACTATGGTCTCAAATACACAAACACAATGTCTCAAGCACACAAACACAATGTTCTCAAGCACACAATATTCTCAAGCATAGCAAGTTCAGAAAAGCACAATTGCATGCATAGGAAAGCACAAAGTTCATCAACATAGCCAGGAGTTCACACGGTTTTAGTGTTCGGAGCGGGAACATCGAGAGTAGTCATTTGGCTTGCTTTCCCAACCTCAGGTGCAACTATCGGCACATTGTTTGACCCAATTGACGGAATAACCCATAAGTATGTAACATCCCAATTTTAAATTTTGATGTCTTATTGTTCATTCATATGCATATCATATTTTCTTTGCATTTTTGGATTCTATTTTTGCAATATTCAAATAGTTTTTCCACTCAAGAAAAATATTAAGAGACAAGATAACATGACTTCTTTAAAATAAAAGAGTTGGAAAAGATATATTATAATACTATTTGGAAATTTTAAAGTTAATTGAGAAATATTTTAATACTCAAAATAACTATTTTGGAAAAACAATATTTTTGAAAAAAATGCATTTATGACAGAACAAAAAGTTCACAGGGGTGCATATGAGCCCAGGTATTTATGTGAACTTTTCTGCAAATTTTAGAATTTTATTCATATTTATTTTAGCCCTAAACTCTCTGTGGTATAAAATAAAGAAAAACCTATCTTTTGGAGGTAAACCGCGCTCTGAGTAACATGTGTTCTGCTATTCTCAAAGACTTTGGGAAAGTGTCAGGGTTGTGTATCAATTTGCTCAAGTGTGTTGTGCTACCTATTAAGTGCAAGAGTGTGCACCTTGACATGTTGCAGGAGGGCCTGTGGTGCCCCATCAGAGCCTTTCCCTGCCGCTACCTAGGTTTATCCCTTTGCCTTGGAAAACCCTCTTCTGCATAGTTTCAGTAAATTGTCGATGGGATTGCTTGAAAGGTTCCCACTTGGAAGGCAGCCTGTATGGACAACTCAGGTCGGCTAGTTCTAGTTAAGTTTGTTCTTTGTGTGGTGCCAATTATTCTCTGATGGCTACGGATGTGCCCCCCGGGAAGGCCGGAACTTTCGCTAGTATCACACGGATTTGCATGAGCTTCTTCTGGGTAGGAATGGCTTGGGCCAATGGCCGGAGCTGCGCTGTCGCTTGGGAGGTAGTTTGCATGCACAAGTGGTCTGGCGGTCTTAGGCTACCGAACTTGAGATGGTGGAACATCGCGCTGCAGGTGAGGCAGCTTTGGTTGAAGCGTGTTGATGGGGCGAGGCCTTGGAAGGAATTTGACATAAAAGTGCCACCGGAATCCCTTGCAATTTACAGATCTGCAGTGTTAGTTCACGTGGGGAACATCGGATCTGCCTTCTTCTGGGAGTATCAAACCGACAGTGCGTGGTCTCAGGATGTTGGGTCTGGCATGAACGCCAACGAGCTAGTGCAGTACCTTGCCCTTTGGAGATGTGTTTCGGTCATTACCTTGCTGCTGGAGGTGGAAGATGAAGCTAGCTAGATGGGCCTGGGAGCCACCTGGAAAATTCTATGTGAAATCGGCTTACAATAACAGGTATGTTGGACTAGGGAAAGATCTAGTAGGATGGTCGTATTGAATTGTCGTGTCTAGTACGACAAGATTTGCCTCACAAGGAGCGGTGTCACACCCTATCCCTACGAGCACCTCGTCATCGACTGAAATGTCTCCTCTCATTGGATGTGCATCGCCGGAAATCCTGAAATAAATCCAGGATTAAATGCGAGCACCAGTATTTGAAACCTGATGGGCTGAGGATACCACGGTCACTCTAGCCATCCAATCACCGAGGATACCACAGTCCTTCTAACTATCCAACCACAAATTGATTCGCGAAAATAACAACACTCTACAGGGTAAAGGTGCATTACCAGGACCAAGACCCTGATGGTTTCTGGATATGGTTTGGTACATCATTTTTTCTCAAAATTCTGCAGCATCTTTTTCCCCTCAATTTCCTTCTTCAGAGTTCAGCATAAATTCTTCAGATCTCGTGCTGCCTGCACGAGATTTACAATTAAATAAAGGAAAATAAAGAAGTCCACGGGCCATCCAAAAACTGGGCCTGGGCTGCTCGCTCGTTCTCTCTCTAGACGTCCCCAAATCCCTCCCCTTCGCTCCCACTCTCACAGTGTCACTGCTGCACAAGTCAAGTCAAACTTCAAATCCCCTTCCCTCCCACTGCCGCGAGCCTCGCCAACCGCCGGCCATGGAGGACGCGGCGGCGGCGGCGGCGGTCACCCCCGAAATGCAAGTTAGGAAGAGGCCCAGACCTGTCCGAGCCGACGGCCGGCAGGATCCGCCGCCGTCGGGGGGCCTCGACCTCATCAGCCGCCTCCCCGACGCGGTGCTCGGCACCGTCGTGTCTCTCCTCCCCACCAAGGACGGCGCGCGCACGCAGGCCCTCTCCCGCCGATGGCGGCCCCTCTGGCGCTCCGCCGACGCGCCGCTCAACCTCGCGGCG